TGTTGTTCTCAATGCTTTCAAAAAAGATGGGACAGAAACGTTTCAAACGATGTGCTGAACAATTTGAGGAACGCTCAAGTTGGACCGCCTCAACTCAATACCTGGAAGGACCATATGAATCTCACTGAGACACTGACGTCATTCCGCTATCAGCATTCAATCATTCGAATGATCAGCTATAAACTATGTACCATAGGCACATTGGTTTTAGCTGCTATGGTTTCCATAACCGGAAAAGGGAATAGTGTGAGACATACGGCTAATACTTGGTTAATTTGGGAACTGGGTAGTTACGTATTAAAGGCGATAGCTTTGATGCACGAACGCCGTTGACTGCACGATTGGGCCCTTTCCGCCAATTCAATTCAATTCAATTTATCAGCTATAAACCGTGTGCCATTGGCACATCGGTTCCAGCTGCTACAGTTTCGATAACCGGAAAACGGGAAAGTGGAACATACAACCAAGCCTTGGAGGCGAAGGCATGTTCAATTTGTTCGGAAAGTGGGTACCTGCGGATTGAAGGCATAGTTTTGATGCACGAGCGCCACTGATTGCGCGATTGGGCCATTCCCGCCAGTGTCATCAGCCATTAGTCATTTGAGTCCTGGAGTCCCCATCCAAGGAGGCGGTAGTTGCCCACCCGAGTAAGGTTACTGGTTAACGTCTCTGCACTTCGTTGTCAGGTCATACACTATCCACCTCTCGGTCGCTCAGCACAGGGTTGGGCAAAAAGGGCGTTGTGAGGCAGCTTCAAACCTACCACCCAATGTGCTTATTTTGGATTTAGTCGTCCAACTGGAGTATTCATATCACCCGCCAGGATTACTATATCCGTCTTTCTTGCCGACTGACGTAGTCGTGACACATCTTGATAAAACCCGTCCTTCTCGGTCTCGGAACTACAGTCTGTTGGAGCGTGTGCTGATACGACAAACAAACACCGTTTACCACACCGACGTGCGTTAATCCTAATTGAGCCAGACAACCGCACAGCTCTGGCGACTGCTTACTGGGGTCATGTTCAGTAAGGCGCTTTCAGTCTTGGTGCTGAGTGCAACTACTACACCGTAGATACCAGGAGCCACTGCCTTAAGATCATCAGACACCTAAAGAGTGAAATGTGGAACATCTGAGCTGGTCCTAAGCGGCTGGAGGAGCACGACCAAAGTGGGGTCTTGTATGCGTGTTTCGGAGACACAGCATACATCGATAGAGAGGGAAAGTAAGGTGTCAGCAAGGGATGTCTGTCGCCCAACGTGAAATAGAGTACGGATACTAAAAGCTTCAACGTGGATCAAATCTTTCGAAGTTAGTATGTGATTATTTTGGTTGATTTTTTTGGGCGAGTAGTGGCTTGGGGGTCAGCAGATGGGTTGATTGCACTGCATTGTACAATGGATGGGGAGGGATTGTAGAAGACCAGTGAGTGAAGAACCGCAAGGGCAATTGATACTTTCCGGTTGCCCAGGCCGAAGCTACACCAACTTGAGCGTTTAAGGTTTTATTTGGAAACCCTTCTCGGAGCCGATGACTCTATAGTCTGACTCACTTGGCTGCAGGAGCCTGGCGCGAGGGCGCGGGAAGTATGACATTGAAGCCTCGCTCCTCGTACAGCTGCGCACAGGTGCCCTTTGAGTAGCACCAGACCCTGTGGTCTTAAGAGTATTTTGACCTTATTGAATAATCCGCCAGTGGTCACGGTCAACCTTTTCTGCGGTCAGAATGTGCAGTTTCTGGGGCTGACCTTTTCTAATCGTTCCTTCCTCGGGAGAAGACAGCATTGCTGCTTTTGTAGATATGGACTTGTTGGTCACGTGGTGGAAACGCCTCACCGCCTTCACAGCTTATCGCATAGGACAGTATGACTTTACTTCCAAACCGCCTCATAGTACGGGGACTCTGTTCTTCGTCGGGCTGCTCCTCGTTGACCTTCCTGACATGGTTGAACTTTTAGGAACTGAGTTCCAGCCGGTATAGCCCGTAGGATCATTGCAGCACAGAAGCTCAACCACCACGACAAGGTGTCAGCTTTAGGTCGGGTACCACAATCAACAACGAAAGTTCGGCTTGAAATTTAGTTGCTCATACTCACATCACTCTCGTTTGAACAGTCGTCCTCCTGTCCTGGCGTAGTTAGTCTGGTGAGTCCACAAGTTCGCCCGTTCGGATGTGAAAATTCAGATGCGTCCAACGGAGTAGTGGTAACACGCTCGCCTAGCATGTCGTGTCCGGAGTTCAAACGGCACGGCCATTGGATATGCACTGCTGATGAGCTCTGTTGAAAGCGAAACTTGAGTCCAGTGCTTCCCCTCCTTCGATGTGGACTCACCAGAATATGTACGCTGGGACAGGAGAACGACTGTTCAAAAGAGGGTGATGTGAGCATGAATAATACATATCCCGCAAACCCCACAACGTGTATGAAAATATTTTATTGCCTCAGCGCAACAGAGCACCTGGTCCAGATGATTTGCATCTTGCATTCGCCAAAGAAGTTGGTGGGTGCCTCCCGGTTTCCTGGCGACTTTCCTTCAAAGTGGGGAGAAACACTGACAGAATGGAGCACCTCGACGACGATTCTTACATAAAAAGGGTGCAAAAAACCGTATGAAAACCACCGCAGTGTCTTTCTTTCGGCCTTAGCTTCCTGGATGCTATTTAACCTTATCCTGCCTAGGTTGGTCTACCATCGAGAGAAGTCGGATTAGCAAGTTAGGTTTCGCTGTGGCCGTGGTTGCATCTATCATGTGACAGTTGTTAGGACCACCTCTGACTGTGACCACCAACAATGGTCGTGTTTCTCGATCCGTTTTTTGTCTCCCTTGTTCGTTAGGAACTGTGGTAGTTTGGCGATGAAGGCTTTCCCTTCTAAATTCCTGTGTCTCATAAGGATCTATAGCCCCCGTGAATGTGTACGTGTCCACGGCAGCTTATCTCCCGGTCCACATCCAATGGTGTCATATAAGATTTCCTCTGTAACCCATCTTAATGCTTTTAAGCCACTGATCCGTGTGGTAGATAAGTTCGCTTCCCTTTGTATCGGACGGGATATCAGTCGATGACTTGGCAACGAAGCACAAAGTCCGTCAACAGTCGACTCAGTTACGTTGGTAACTGTCGTCTTGCCCGATGGGAACTATGGGACCGGCAACAGATTGTTACTGAATCTTAGATATAGCGGTATGGTGCAGCCAGTGACGTCCCTGCCTCAAAGCTATCGCCTTCACTTCTTAGCTCTCACTTTCTGCTATACTGGACGAACAGATTTATTTGTCGTCGATGTCCGAGTTAGACCATCGTCTCCGACGCGTTGTTCCCATTTCCTTATTGTACTTATCCTTGCTGAACAAAGTTGTAGCAGCTGGAACCACTACACTTCGGTGTACGATTTGTGAGCTGAAAAAATTGAATTGAATGGCTGTCTTGTGAAGGGTATTCTCAAAGTAATGGTGTTAAGCAGAGTATGTGATGTACATCCATTAAGTATCGGAACATATTTTGCAATGCAGGATGACCGTTTCGAGCATGAACCGTTTTTAATGGGGGCTGCTCATTCGGATGGGATCCTGTGAACAGTCCTTGTAGTTATAAGGTGAGTACAGTAACCCCCTGGCGGGAATGATCCGAAGAAGAAAAATCGGCTTCTGCAGAAGTGGTTCACCATAGCCAACCTCGATTTAGAAAGAATCTCTATTCACAACAGAAAAACTCTAAGTGCGCCAAGAAATTTCAATAAGTGTTCGCTATTATCTTCATTAATCAGGTTTGGAAGATCCATTTGTAAGGTTCACGTGCCCGGTAATGAGAATTTCGTTAATTCACCTCGCAATGGTGCCTGCGTGATCAGTTTTTTCGTCAGTGTCATTCAACGAGACTGAACTTAGCCGCATCTGACGACAGTTGGACTGCACCTAGTTTTAACTACGTTGCCAACTTAATTTTATGGAAGTTGATTGCATGTCATTGAGATATGACCTAAAATTTTGTATGTGCAAGATCATGTTGTCAGTGAATATAAGCGGGAAGGGTAATGGTACCCACTAGGTTAAAACCCCAGCGTAGTTATCTTTACTTTTCGACTACTTTGCCGCGACTTTTGTGGAGGAGGATGGTCGGCTCCGAATCGATAGTACGATCAGCAGTATGGGCGGGACATGGTCCTGAAGTCCCGTAGAGATTTGTATACGAGTGACATCCTCGGCACGCACGGCTTTTGCTGAAAGGTAACTCTGGCAAGGTGGCAGAGTCGCTCAGCGAAATCATCCGAGGTGCTTTTGTACCTTAGACCAACCTCATCCGCCCACAATGTTGGGTCTGGTATTCCTGTCTAAGCTTGGGTGAACTGACATTATCTTCCCCTCGTGTTTATGGTGAGGTAGCTGTTACCATGGCATGATGTCGCCAATGGGCTCATGTGGCATTTTGAGTGGATCTGGTTACCAGCCAGGAATACATCACGCGCTGGTGACCCGACCGTGAGTGCTGTTAGTCCACTGACGGCAGGCGTCACGTGGTTTTTGCCGTTAAATCGTGGGTTTGGGCTTTGCGGCCGAGCATAGTTCATTATCACCCTACGATGTAGCTCACTGATAAACGGGAGGGCACAACCCATCACCTAACGTATTGGTTCAGTGTGCGCGGTGGATAGTTTCAGTGGTCAGTGCACACCAATTTCTCGTGCTTCAAGTATACCATTGTTCCAGCTGAGGTGGGATGCCTCTCACCGTATTCAGTACCGGTGACAGATTCATCGCGCCCCCACTATGTGCGTATTTCTAACAACATTAGTGCTTGAAGGAGACTTCTCCAATGGCTGGTTTTTAAGTTATCACCAGCTACGTTTGATCGTACCCAGTCTTGGTGTCCCCGCCAGTTTTCAATTTCGTTCAGTTGTATCCTACTGAATTTGCCGTAAGAGTGATTGTGTCTGGCACCTCCTTGGTATTCATTATGGATCATGTGACGAATATCATACGTTTCCCCTCTGCAACTTTCAGGCATGGGTGGCAAGAAGAAGACAGGCCATGCTCAGCCCAGAACCAAAGAAAACTTGAAACCGTCGAGCAGTGAGAAGGCCGCCCAATTTCTGGTAAACCAGACCGGTGGATTAGGCTTGCCTTTCCCACTGCTCTCACTGTCCGCTCCTAAGGGGGCTACGTCCTCAGTGACAGATCCTGATCAACTTGGACGGATTACTGGTTTCGTCCCTGTTCCGCAAGACCCCGATGCTGTTGGGCTTGATTCCAGGCTTCTTAGTATTTTGCGGAGATTGGAAAAGAGAGATTCGGTTACAAAGCAGAAGGCTCTGCGCGAATTTCACGAGCTACTCAAAGCAACCGACGAACAGTCGTCATCGGATCTTGAGACTTCTGCCGTCGTCGCCACATTACCATTCTGGTGTCGAATATACACGCGTTTATCATCCGATCCCGATCGTAAAGTGCGTGAACTGTTACAAATGTCAATGAGTGCTCTGGCTGCACGCGTCGGTCGAGAAATTGGGCCTTATATCAAACAGGTGTGTTATTTGTTCAATTAGCTGCTACGCGATCTTACCAATGTATGTTAGTGAGCATTTTGAAGGTTCAAGTTTGTTTTGTTGGCAAAACAGACTTGTCGGTAGACAAGCTTTTGTTGGTAGGCAAAAACCAAGACGGTAAGATCACCAAGGATCACCGTAAAACTAAGCTACACTGAGTCTACAGAGATCGACTTCTGGTGGGATAATGAGTCAATAATAGGAACAATCAGCCTTAGTTCAATCTCCGATCCCACAAATCTGCAGTCTTGCTCATGTTTTTGTAAAAAGGGACGACACCTTTGAATGTTCCTTTTGCCTCAAGTTCTCCAGTGAGAAATAATATTAATCCACGGAACTATGTCCTTTACGTGACTGCTGTATTGGTAAACCCAATTGACCCTTTTAGGGCGACCAGTAAGGCTCTAAAATCAAGTTGGTTGGAGTATGCATTCATACCTATGCTCACCCACCATTTCAGGATTGCGCTTCTCTACTCGCACTCCTAATTGTCAGGACTTTCGAGATAGACTCGAACTGGACATCATAACGTCTTCACGTTACCTTGATTCGATCCCGTATGACTTTATCACAAGAATTTGGAAACTTTATTGTGTGATGAGCATTTTTGTTCCTGGTGGGAACTGTCACTTCCTAGCCAGATGAATTTCCGAACTGGGAAATCTTATCACCACTTACCGAAATCACCTCATTGAGGTTTGTCCGTCGGTTCTGTGCTTGCTTGTAAGTGGGGTGAGATTCATTAGGTTGAAGCAGTTAGGCATTTTTCTTTAACGTAATGTTCACTTGCGTATATTAGTGCATTTTTTTAGTGTAGATGCTTTACTTTTAATCGTTCCCTCCAGTCTTTCGACTCTTGCACTAAATCCACCGTTTTATCTCGTCGATGTTGCTGTATGGTGGGTAAAAACGAGTTTTTAATACCGATATACCGCTGTTGTTGTCGATGCTGTTACTAAGGGTATTAGGAAACTTAGTGAAGTAGATAGGTTTTCATGCTTCTCCCATGTTTCTCTATCCGCTTTTCAGACTCGTTTTCTGTGTTTTCTCTTTTCTCACCGACGGATCAGCCTTAGCTCTACCCTAATTAACCTGGAAGGCCGAGATTTCGCCTCTCTTACAGTTGTTTGTAGTTCTTTTACTGCCGTATTTCTTCGTCGTTCGTATATGCTTGTTACCACCAAGTTTGATCTTATCGTTTCGTTTTAATACTCCTCATCTCTTTCTTATCCTGACCAGATTTTGCCGATATGGGCATTCGCAACTGTTGACTTTCACGAACCTGCTGCCTCATGGGCCAATCGAGGGCTGTCGGACACATTCCCCAATGCAAAACGTTCTGACGCCTACAAAGTTTGTGCACGGACCTTATTGGATTTGTTAGAAGCAAAATTGTCCGAAGATTTGATGGCTGTTTCCAACCTGATTAATGAAAAAGGGAGAAAGAAATATGTGTTAAACATGTCGGGGAATACAGAAACATCTGCTATGTCCGACTTGGAAAGTTGTGAAACCAATGCTTGGGTGAAGTTGGCTGGGACTTTGCGCTTCGTGGCCACCGTGGCCATCGAAATTGGTAGTTTACCATCGGACAGTCGACACCTTGAGCGACTTCGCGTCTTACTATCCCCCTGCAATTTATGGTCCCGTGTTGCACAAATACTCGAATGCCAAATATCTAGTTCGTCTCCGGGTTACCGCACTGTGGCCGGCAACAGTTCACTGGTGCGTGCTTCGCTGTACAAACTTTGCACGGCGTTGTGTAGTAACCAGAATTGGCAAGATTGGATAGCAACTACCCCTAAGGGTAATCAGTTGGCTTCCTACCTATGTTTGAGCACCATCGGCCAACTAGGTCTGATTCTGGGTGACGCGCTTCCTTCAGGTGTGTTGAGTGGCTACAAGCTGATTCCACCGCCTCCGTCTTCATTACCTGTCCCATCCTGTTACGCTCAATGCTGGGAATCCGCGTTATCGTGTTTGGTAAACGTACCCGGTGACATAGTTTGGGCTGCGGTTGACTGGAAATCTGTTTTAGTCCCTCAGCTGGAACGGTTGTTATCGCCTTCTGGTGTTCCTTATGCGAAACAGGTGAGTGGTACTAGGCGCACCACTGTGCGCTGTTTGTATTCTGTAATCCTACGGAAGTTTGGTCATTAATATGCGGTTGTAGATCAATGGCATTGTTCAATGAGTTGCTGCTTTTCATGAATTGATGAAATTTCACTTTCTTTAGTGTTCTGAGATTAAACACAGGTAATCACGCGGGAAGTTTGTGAACATAAGTCCTTTGCATTCTCAAACTTCCGGACGTGTCACAGTATATGGAGAGCTCTCCAAAAGCTTCTGTACACAAAACGGTGTCCGACAGGGCTTCCCACTCTCTCCATTCCTAGTTAATTTCGTGATCGATGAAATATTGGGGTGAACGCTGGAAGATCTCCAAAACCCTGGTGTCCAAATAGCCTGTGACGAAAACCTTATCTATCTGGAATGTGCAGGCCACATTGTTCTCGTCTTCGAAGAGAAGACGCAGGTATATCCTTGCAATGTACTACTCATAAAGTTGCTGAAAATCCGTCGACAGCCCACGACTGGTTTCGCCCTTTTTGAGGCTCATCAGGTAGGCGCAGTCCCCGGGTTTCCGTCAACTTTATGTTCTACTTGAAACCAAATTGCACGAAATTAGCGAATATACACTCATTTGCAAACTAATTTGGTTTTATCGAGAGACTCACCTGGAACCCAGCTGAGAACACCACGACCGAGAGATTCAGCTGGGTTCCAGGTGAGTCTCTCACTAAAACCAAATTAGTTTGCAAATGAGTGTATATTCGCCAGAAGACGCAGGTGTTTTTGGATGAACTGACCAAAGTAATCTCGTCCCTTAGCATGCAGTTTTCACCCCAAAAAGTGTAAGGTCATGCTCGTGAACATGCAGTCACTAAACGCGCCACTTACAATCCAGAAAGAGTCACTCGAAGTTGTGGAGCGTTTCAGGTACCTTGGAAGTTGTGCTAGTTCTGATTGTAGTGTGACAGATGAGGTCAGTGCACGAATCTGCAAGGCTCGAGTCGCGTTTGCTAATTTGAGCCACCTGTGGCGTCAAAGCGGTATGTACCTGAATCTTAAGGACTATTCTTTTCTTCACAATAGGGCTTTCAAATAAATCGTGGTTGTAGGTCAGCGAAGCATCAGTGTTGAAACCTGATGTCACGCAAATGATGATGACGATAATATTGATGGTAATGATGATTGTCCTCACGTTGTCCTACCACTGGACCTGTTCTAATATGAAAGACATTTCTTTGCCCCCACCAGATACACGAAATGCGGTGGAACAGAGTTCTTGCGTACAAGAATCTGTAACCAGAATCGCGATGAGAATCGCACCTTAGTCTCACGCTCTAATTTTTTGACGCACCAGCTGGCTGTGTTTACCTCTCTCCCTCCCATAGGGTAAAGAGCGGTACGCGAGCGATCTGACGAGTATCACTCCGATTGGCCTATCTGAACGGACACCACTTTTTATTGATCCCGTTTCATTTGCATGTTTTGGTTAGTCATTCCCGTTTATGGGCTCGTGTAAATGTGAACACAACACTGTCTCAATGCACGCGTCGATGGTTTTCGTCACCGAGGTAACGAGCCCCTCATACCGCCTTGTTTGATGCCACAGTAGGGATATCGCACTAGCCGAGAAGGCGGTAGGAATTGCATGGACTGAGGCTGATGGGGTGTGGGGTTGAATCCGGACTAAAGCTGGTGAGCAGTGTTTCAGACCGGATGAGATTTCGAGGTCACCACATGATGTTTCAGCGATTTTTGACAAGCTTGTTGGCCCTTGGAGATGTAGGTTGTTTATCAGGATAGCCATTGACATCCAGAGCGGTCTCAAGCAATTCAAACCGATCTACTTCTTTCAGTATTACTCATGAACTCGATATAAACAGGGGATCCAACTACCGGTTTCCTCTTTTATGGGCTCAGCAGATAGGCCTAGTTTTCGAATTTCTACCACGCTCATTCCTTACTTGAACGCCAAGTCGCTCATGTTTCGCGGTATATTCACATGTTTGTGCTGTCATAAAATCCAGTTTAAATTTATTCGAATCTCATTCAAAATCTTCAACTCAGTGTGCTGCACAACGGCCGCCCCATGAAGAGTGCCGTAAACGGGAGATTAAGGTGAATTGCAGTCATCTTCCCGTCAACACTGACTTGATAAGAAAATGAGTATTTACTGCAATATCTGTACAAGTAGGAAATATGGTTGGTGGAGATTCGGGGACTGGACCTATCTGATGCGCCTCAAGAAAGGTGAATCTGGTAGTTGGTTTTCCAGAGCCCATATCGAACTATGCTTCTATGTCTTAAATATAGATCTCAATAAAACGAAGGCGATCTTTGTTCAGCACATTCAGTTGAGACATATTATAAACGAGGTCTGACTGTTTTCCGCCTGACTTTTTCCGCCGTGGGTTTAACGAAAATCCTCCTGGCTAGAGGTCCAACTATGTTTACAAATACTGTCTGTATCTGGTGCTCACTGGCGGGCTACTCTGCTGCTTTCCTAATCACTGTATTCTGAGCCTTTCCCTGAAAGTAGTCTCCAAGACAACCACAGGGCTAGTTTACGAATAACTTAGCTTGAGGTGTAAAGATGTTGGTGTCCACCAGATAATGTCGTGCTATCGAAGAATGCGTCTTCTACTATCAGTTTTTCTGTTCTTGACTATCATCTTTCAGCTCATTTCCGGCGTCTGACGTACTTTTGTTTCGACATACGTTGACCTACTGCTACCATCCGAAACAGTGCTGATTCACTATTCGGCGCTCAGCTGCGAGTGAATTGAACTTCTCGTAAGGAATAACCTTGAAATTGTTTTGAAGGGACGCCGGTAACTCAGTTTGTATGATTCATTTCAACTCTTGACAATACAACGTTTACAACCAAGATACTCGGAGGGCAAGCGAACCAAAATCCATGACAATGAGACGCTACTTTGCCGTTTGATGTGTTGGATACCTTTGGCTAACAGTTTCTTGAGAGTAAGACGCAGTTCCAGTAATTGCCTAACTTGAGGAGACTTGACCTGAGTTCGAGTTTACGTAATCTTCACGCTCAAGTTTTTTCACGTTTGATTGTCTTGTTTCGGTAGGACCTCACAGGGAAAAGTGCAGTTAAGCGGTACAACGAGAAGGCGCACTAACCGAAATGTAACGGGCCAAGATCGACATGTTTTCGTATGTCTGGGGTCCTAGTGAATTGTCCAGCGTAACACGGTTATTTGGAACCTTCCGCGATTTGGTCAGCTGCACTGAACGATCATGTATAAGCTCCTACCCGCATGGGTGCCGCAACGCATTTTCTTGCGCAGAGTAGTATCCTACCTGAATTTTTTATGAAGGATAGCGTATGGACGCCTTTGGTGGCTATGAAGTGTTTTGTTTATCTGTGAAAGAAACAATGACAGATTATGCTCTGTTTCCAGTCCGCTCCGTCGATTTCGTTGTACGTGCTTCGTTTATTTGTACTTTTAGGTATACTCAAATTTGCTCAGTATTTTGAGCAAGTTTCCCATAGAATACGACGCAATGACACCGACCCAAGAGGATATTTTGATGTTCCTATTTGTGGATTCCGCACTGTCTGGTTTGGAGGCCTCATTGACGCCGAGGGTTTCTTCAGGGATCGATGACCCCAAAGCACCCGTAACAGTCCACGTTGATCCAGGTATTCCGGTTTCCATCGTCACTGGTGTCTTGGAGTGTGCACGGTTCTTGATAGACAAACTTGCCACAGCCTTCCCACAACTTTCTTCCGACGATCTTCCCACCCAGAGTCCTTTGTTGCATGCCATCGTCCATAAGGTGGTCATTCGACTTTTGGCCGACTCGCTAGATGTTTTGAGCGACCACCGTATGTTACTCGTCAGTTCCCAGCCAGCAACGTATCGGGAGACCTATTTGAACGCAGTATTTAGTCAAGTTAGTAGAAGCTTTTAGTGATTCCTCATTTTCTTCATTCTAAATCATTTTTGTAACGTTGTTTGCCATCCTTTATTTTGCGATGTTTGGCTTGGTTTCACTAGCTGTAGTTACTATGCTATCAGGCGTAGGAAACTTAATGGTACTAATGAGCGAAGTGGGGAGTCATCCGCGGTGTCAGTTTCGCGTGTCGGCTTCATCATATGCGATTGGAAATGCACTCAGGTTACTATCTTGGCATGACAACCAAAATGGCATAACCCTTATTGGTGTAAGTCGTGCTTGTGTGGTGATTGGTTGTAGCCAGGGCGCCGTGACCTTGACAAGATGATGGGCAGAGGTCTCGATCGCAGTATTTCATGCAAATGTCTAACCTTGAGATAGCAGTGGCGACATCTTGTCATGGGTATGACTGCTGAATAGACCTGCAGGCGTATCTGTGAGCACGCACATGGTTGCTTTGGCAACGCACAGGTAAACTGCAAAATAGGTTCAAGTTCCAGCAAATTCAGCGTCGAAATGGACAATGTCCTTTATTTGGTTTGTCACGGGTACCACGTTAATAAAACTTAAAACAGCTGCATTTAATCAGCAGAAGTACTCAGTCTTTCAAATAATATCCACATTTAACGGTGGTACGTTATCCTTCAACTCATTCGGACCTTGATTCCAGCCAAAAACACATCACCCTTAGACTTACAGTTAGGCTGTTTCAATTTCTGAAAATCTCCATGGTCTGAAGACGATAAATGAATGCGCATTATTTCAAGGTTGATGTCACACACGCCGGGGAATCAGATTAATGGGGACTCAACATAATGTGATTTCTCTTTTTTGTGTCAGGCGACTCCGAACATAGAACGTAGAATTCACCAAAGAGTNGCAGTAACGAATCAGATCAGATCACGAGGTTTTGAAATCACAGCGCTCAAAATATATCGGAGAAGCCAGCCACAATAATCGGAGACAACTGAGAATGGTTGGTTCCATTTTGAATTCCGAGCAAGTCGTCGCTTGGATAACCCGTTCGCTTTGGGTTTCACGACCACCTAGACAGCTAGATAGATGATTATCTTGATAACTCCTCTGTGCAGACAGGGAACTCAGCCGTAGATGGTTTTATTAGCCACAAGATAACACGGCTACGAAGAGAGTGTCTATCTTATTCAGACGTGTTACAGAGAGAGCGGCAGTCTTGCCTACAGAGTCACGACCGGCAACTAGTGATATGTGGTTGATCTAACTTTCCGATTTGTTACGGCTGATGACGTTAGTTAACATGATGCGCATGTTTGTGTTGGTTGCCCGCGATAACCAGGTAATTAACATATAGTTGTATGAAGAGATTGCCGTTTTCGGTTCAAAAGGCGCCTACACTAAGTCTGCTGCCAATGTAACCGATTTTTTCCAGCGGGACATTCAAATTGCAAGCCTACTTGACCATACTGAGTGGTCTTCATGGTTCTTCCTAAAATGCAGTCTGAAGATACAGTGGACAAATTTGGTATCTTCAGTTGTCGATAGTGTCGGACAGCCTTCCATAGTCTGTTGTTCGCAGGGATGCAGTCGAGTGAAGGCATCTTCAGTTCTTTTGCTCAACTCAACATTTCACTGCTGAAACCGAAAGGTGCTGCTTCTGGATCACCGGACACCTAGAAAGTAAAATGTAAGGAAGTTGGGTGTGGGTCGTTTTATAGTCGACGTTTTATAGCCAACGACTCATTGGTCTGACCCACTCGACTACAGGGTGCTGGCCTGGTTCGTGGGCCCAGGAGTAATGCATCATTGTCTGATTTTTAACGCGGCTGCGCATAGCACGTACTTTTTGAGTGGCAATAGACTCTTGTTTTAAAAGTTCTTCGACCGGATTGAATAATGCGCCGGCGGTCACAGTCAACCGTTGGGTCAATGGAGTGTGCAGGTTTTAGGGCCGACCTTTTCCAACACGTCCTTCGGAGGAATGCAGCATCGCTGCTTCCATATATCTTACCGTGCTAGTCTTTTGTTACTACCTTCACACTCCTATCGTGGGGGACAGTATGACGTTATCTTCAGGCCGTCTTGTAGTACGATTTCTCGTAATACAAAGACTAGCTTTTCTTTGTCGGACTGCTCCAGTTTGGTCTTCCTGGTTTGGTTGGAAGTTTAAGAACTGGGTTCCATCCAGTTTAGTCCGCAGGATCATTGCAGCACCGAAACGACCAACATGACAAGGCAACAGCTTTAGGCCGGGCTGCCACAGTATCACAGGGTTTTCTTCGCAATGATATCGAAACTTGTTTTATTTGGTGTGCTTGGTGAGTTGGTAGAACAGCTGTCGTCGAAGTCTACTCATTTTTACCTTCTTTAACGTATCCCGTAGATGAAAAGCGGCTATTTTGTTCGCTTAAAGTTTTTCAAGCTTAAAATTCGGCTCTCGCTTCCAATCCCCTGATTATATCATATGCTGACTGAGCTGCTGGTTAAAAACAGCTGCGGGGTAATGATGGTTTCAGTAGAACCAATGATCACTCACATCGGAATTATACGTTTAACAGGTTAAACTTAATTCACCACGTGACTGAGACTTCCTAGCAGTTCACTCTATCGCGCGAGGCAAATCTTTCCGCATGGCTCATAATGTGTGCTTTGTTAGTGACTTTCCGAAGACGACGTTTTCTCAGAAAAAGACCGATTCAGCTCGTGCAATGTTTCCTTTCGGAACCTATTAACCATTCTTTACTAGCACGATTGAACTGAGAAGTGAGTGACAAGTTAACCACCCTGCTGATTACTCGTATGTACCGAATGGTGGTGGTTTGAATCACATCTGAGAGTTGCAAGGGGCTCCCAATAGGGCTGTATTAGCTGTAGCAGGTAAGCACGGGTCAGCATCCTATAGAAACCCTTCACAACCACGTATCTGAGCAGTTCTAATAAGCGGGTGAAATTAAATCGACCGGTTTTGCATGATTGCGTTAACCGACGTCGGTGAGTCAGCAAAAGTTATTGCCACTTTGGCAGAGCTAAACTAAGCCGCTAAGCCGCTTCGAAACCCCAACTTAGTGATAGGTGGTCGATTCCGTCCCCCCCGTGCTTCTGGGCCACAATTCCGGGGCCGAATTTTTGTTGTATTAGAGAAGATTGATTGCGTGTCATGATCGCGACAATTTTTGGCTATGACGGCAGGCACAAGGATTTTAACGTAGTTTTTTTTCAACGACTATACCCGTAGGGGAATAACCTGGTTACTGACAGGGCGATTGACATCCGTCTAAGAAGCATCAACATACGTGCACACATCCATTCGCAGGATACCGATGAAGAGTCAAATTGTGTCAACCTGAATGGTAACCAGCTATGTGGATAATTTTAAGGACAATCTGAGATGATTATTTTGTAGCGGTTTGCTAAGTCACCTTATAAATCAATCAGCTAGCGTGAACATTAAACGACCTCAAATGTGCGGCATAGCTTGGACAGTCATCTCTTCTAGTCTCACACGTGTCTTTCCATTCATATGTACTCATAATTGTTCCCCGAAACCTCACTCAATCGTAGTTTTTGTTTCCGCATTTGGAAGCATGTAAAATTTGTCAATAGCTGTCATTTTATGGGACTGGCTAACCAGGATAGAAGTAGGACTGTTCGAACTAAATTGATGGGGATTCACATGACCTTGTCTAGCATTGATGAGAAACTATTTCACCTGTTTGTATTAACTCAGAGTCACGTGTTGATGAACTGCAGCAATAGATAGTAACCGGTTGATCATGTTTTTCTGCTTTTTACAGGTGGCTCAGTTATGTGGCCATCTGGGTCGATCCGAGCTGGTATCCAAACTTACCCTGCTGAGCGAAATTCACAAGCACCTAATTAAGTGGATATCGTCCACTGTGATGTCGAGTGATACACAGCATACTGAAACACCTTTTGCTGAGTTCCGTCTGGGATCGATGGATCCACTTAGACTTCTGAAGTTCATTGACCAACTTGCGATGGCTGGACGCCGGGACGGCAATATACTTGATACCATGAAGGAAGATTTTGAGTTTGTGCGTGCATCTTGGTGTGTTAGGCTGTTCAGTGATGTTTCAGAACACGTGGCAAAAACTGATAATGAGGCCTTGCAGATTCCTTTGCGCAGTTGCTTGTTTATCATCTGTCTGTGTCTGCAAGGATATTTACCTCCAAACTACACAGTATCCGTGCCTCCCATTGCTGATAAACTGTTTTCTGTCATTTTGCCGGGCCTGCCAATGGACGTGCATGCTGGCTGCTGGTCAAAGTCGGTTGTTACTGGATTTATCCGAGCCTGGTGTAAGTCGTCAATCGTAACCGAAGAAATTGTCCCATTCACTATTCAGTTCCGATTTCTTCGGAACCTCCTTCCCGCCCTTGTTGCACTGTCCCTCCCCAGCGATTTGATACGTGATCTGTGCAATCTTTTATCCAGCTGGTGCTCCAGTTCGCTTGATATAATTTTCAACAATGTGACTATTGCTAATGTCCACGCTGTCTCGACTTCCCTGTCATTACTGCATGCAACTTTGTCAGTGTTGTTTAACCAAACTGTAGATAGGAATTCCGAACTCGTCGAACTGAGGAAATTGGTGCTGGGAAAAGTCACATGTTATCTCAGTAGACAATTACCTGAAAGTTCCGATGTGTTGTTGCCCCACACTTTATCGCCTCGTGTGCTCCGAAATCTCACTCTCTGTGTTACTGTTCTGTTAGAAACTGTTTCCATCACTCCGGGTGATACTGAGCCCAGTCTTGAATTCACCAATCATTGGCACCTTCAGCTTTGTAGGTTATTGTTTGCTCTGTTCTCCGTGGAACACTTTGCTCATGTCAACAAAAATCTATCTTCAAACTCAGAGCTAACGGACTTGATTCTCCCGTCCCATGAGTCACTGGCAGCAAGTCAAGACGAAGAACCTCTCTATTCTCGATGCCTGGATCTGTTCGAGGTTATTGACCAAGCAGAAGAGCTTTTGTTCTCTTATCTGTCTCTGGATGTTGGGAACGTTGAAGCAGTTGATTGTCCAAGCGAATTTACGTATTCTTTACATCAATTGTTGATTAGCGCTGTGGTGTACTTACCCTATGTTCCGTCCCGTCTGATACGATTCGCAGAGAGGTTAAGAAAACTTTTGCACGATCCTTCTCTGTCACCGTTGTGGTTATCGGAACTTGCCGAAACGATCAAACAGACAGTGAGAAAAATTGTGTCTGACTTTTCAGAACCTACTACTTTGTCGCCTCCGTCACGCCATTTACTTCCCGGTTTTGGCTGTGCAGTGGATGCCTGGTGTATGGGCCCATCGATGCGTTTACACGAACTGGGGTTGCGTCTGGGTCTTCCTCAAGAACTCAAGTCGAATGTCACCAGGTGGAACGTCTACCTACAGTGTCTTGGTATACTGCGGGTGTGGCTGTGCAGCCTCGGTGATACGTACGATCCTTGTGTCGCATTTGGTTGGCCTATTGAGAAGCGAACGGATATTGTGGAATCAGATAATAAATACTCTGGTGTTGATTTGGAGCCAGCGCGATCGGTATTTGGACAAGTGGTTGATTCTTATGCATCCGAACTTGGCCGTATGTGGTACCAGAACACGGCTGATATTCCTTTGGATGAGCTTTTTGAACTGATGCAGACAGACTATCACTCTATCTCACCCTTAGCTTGCGCTAACATCCAAGACTGTTTTTTAGTCCATTCGCTTTTGAATGCCGTGTTGTTAAATCGTTTACGCACCGTCCATCCGAACTTGTGGCCACATCACTTCAAGCTGATCGCCGGTTGCACTGATGACCCAAAACAGCCACATTCTTCGTGGTCTGAACGGCACCTGTTTTCTGACGGTTGCTTTAACCAACCATCAGGTGCGATTCAGTTTCGTCAGTTATGCGAACTATACATACCAGCAGGTGTTGTGCGACGATGTGTACCGCATCAAGAACTTCTAGGGCGTATGAAAAGTCTAGCCGTAGCGCCTACAACTTTGAGTGATTGTGAATCGACCACAAATTGTGCAAAAGCTTCACGAATTCTCGAACTTGGATCGAGCTTGTTTAGTGTCCGCTCAGTTTCACCTGTCTACATGACTACATTTTTATCTTTCATAACCGACGACTTTAACGCCTGGCTTACAGAACTCGTAGAGGGCAGTAATGGAGATGAGCTTCCTGGGCTTTTGGCTTTTCAGTCCGGATTCGTTGCAAGTCTTGCCACAATGGAATTCCTCGAAAGCCTATTACTGCTTTGGCAACCGTGGCAATGGCGACCAACTCACGTGACAGACAAAGCAACTTTTACAAACCATTTGTGTCTTATTCAGCTGAGTTTGCGCCTAGAACAACTTCGACCCTCACTCACCCGTTCACAGTGGGACTTCATAATGTGCATCACTGTTAGTTGGATTTGTGCCGCGGTTGCTGGTGCTTCCGATGTGACCGATCCAAGCAGCCACAAAACGTTGTTTGGCTTTCGTGTTTTTCGCGTTGCAGCTGCACTGGGCGCAATCTTTGTTGAGAAATTTCCACCCCCGAAGGATTTGTCTTACTTTCTTATCCCGACCACCACTCCACTAAAGTCAGCTGTGAGTCACTTTGGAGGTGGAGAGTGGGATGATGACTTAGATGCTGAAGCCGAAGAACTGGATCTCAAAGAAGATGCTTTGGTTACTGATGATGCATCCACTAAGCGGGAACATCAGGAAGTGTTTGATGAGACCCAGTTGTTGGACACATTCCAAGATGACCACGATGAACTTGAAGCAGCCTTAACGGAAGAAGAAGATAACCGTGAATCATCCCCAAATATGCAACATCCAGTGCTTCCACGTCGTGCCCGGCCGCCTGTTTCCATTTCGACAGACTGGGAACAATTCTTCTCCTCTCATTTCTATTCCTCCCTTCTACCCGTTATTCTCAAATTGTGCCTCCCCCAACCAGGACTGATCCAGCCCGGGTGTAAATTAGTGACCCCGGTACAGCTGGAAGCCGCTTGTGCAGCATTCGCCACTTGTTCAGCCATCAAACTCATTCAGGTTCTCACTGAGCAACCTCATTTTGTCGTGGAATATTTAGTTGATCTGGACATCGGTGGCTCCAGTTCAGTTGCTTACACCCCACTCATACGGTCGCGAACAAGTAGTGTGAATGAACTAACTCCAGGGTTACGTGCCAGTTTTGACTTAGCTATCCGTTTACTTCGTTTTTCTCCCTACCAATCGGGACAACTGCTCGGGCATATTTTACTCACCCGCTTAGTGTGCGCACATACAAATCGCACCGATGGCAACAAGACCTACGGCTTGAGCAGTTATCTTATCCACCGTCTACCACCCTCTTGGTTGACCGCACTTTACGACAGTCTTCCTGCCGAACTCGAGCAAGACTTGGTATCAGAAAGCCTAAGTAACAATTGGGGACGTGGATCACGTGTTTTACGATATCTTCTCAAATATTCCCTTCAGGATGGTTGGTTTCTGGATGTGATGGCTCATCAGTCTATTCTGCGCTACCTTTTGGCTTGGGATGGAATTTTGAGTTTATTCAGCTGTACTGGGTCCCAGGGGCGAGCCCGATTACAGCGTGCACTTCTTGGTTCAGCTGCACCTCTTTTCGATCGGTTTGTATTATGTTTGGGTCTATTAATCCCTCCACCCGGTAATTTGGCCACTTTCATAAACACACCTTCTCGTCTGGAACCTGATGAACGCCTATTATTACCTGTCTCTGCCTCTCGCGCTGACCTGATCGTTGCGCTTTCTTTGATTTCACCATCCCGACAACGTCGTCCTATTCGTCTGTCTGTTCCGTTAACCTCTGGGGATGATCGAGAGTGGCGAGATGCTTTTGCTCCGGATGACCCTTTGCTTGCCTTATCCGGAGTTCGGATCGCACGCGATATCAGCCATTTGGCAGTTCGTCTATTTCGACGACTCCTCGCCGAAGCCCCAGCGTTGTTCCGTAGTTGGTTTACTCGGATTAGCTCTCCGTCTACTGCAGACCCGTGCTGTTTGGATGGCGAATCTTTTCCGCTTGTGATTAGTCCACTTACGGCCCACAAACCTGGGCGGTTACGCCAGCTAGCCAATACAATTGAAGCCATTGTTTCGCGACATTTTTCCCCCGGCTTGGCACGTGATGAGGTGGTCATGGTACAATACAGAGCACAATTACGTGAGATGAAACGGGACAATACAACACCAAAAGGATGGTTCGATTTTCTGTCACCGTCAAATGAAGTTGGATCCATCAGTATAAGGAGTCGTCCACTGTCGCGTGAGGTAAGTTGTGCTACGTAGCTAGTTATTTATCCAATAACCGCGCAGTTTCCTGGGACCGGTGTAGAATTAAGCACTTAATAGATACGTGGCTTTCAAATTAAAGTTTTATCTTAAGTCTGCAGCTCATCATTCCCTTAACAAGCAACGTTCTTAGGGTTTTGATTTGCCTGTACTTGGGGTAAATAGTCTTTACAATCTTTCCGCCTGTGATAGCCCAGGCTTTTTTACTTGGAATAAACAAAGAATTTTATAATCTGGTTTCGGTTTCGTTGATGGATAGTTTTGGTCTCACATTTGTCAATTTAGAGCAGCATTAGGTTTGTATATCAAGCTGGAATTAACCCTTGGGTTACTCACAGGGATTGATTTCTGGCGTAACTGTTTTCACTTCCGAGTATTGCTGTAATTGTTTTCATGGAGTATCAACAACGATGCAAATGGCATTCTTCCTGTCGGCTCCAAGCTCAATTTTTTACCTGTGGAAATTCCAAAACTTGAATACAGGGCTGTGAGCCGCAGCCGATACTGTACTGTCGAGGCATCGTAATATGATATCACTGTCCTCCTTTCGGGTTGCGAAGGTGAGGACGCACAATTTTTAAATTTTTCCAGATTGCTTGTATTTGGTTTGTTTGTAATCCTGATCTTTCGTTGCGATCTCTGATTAGGGAATATTGGCGAAGCAGGCGCTCTCTATCCAGTTTAAACCAATAATATGTTTTTCTCGGTGGAGAGTGAAAGGGATTACCTACTCTGCCCACTGCAGACAAATTCTATCTTGTTTGGCACACGATCCGAGGTACCATGCTTCGATAATGGAGTGGAGTCCTGACAGAGCTAACTTCGGCCTTTGGCTTAATGTTTAAGCCGAAGTATGATTCTTAAACACTTGTCTTTCGTCAATCTGCCAGCGACTCAACGCCAAAAACAAAACTGTCAACTGAGTAGTTGTGATGACCACCTTGGCAGTACAGGTTTAACGCTCAAAAGTAAACTCAACACACGGAATATGAAGGTTAGCCTAGCGTTTGACTTCCCTAAGAAACACGTCCGGAGCAAATAGCACTTGTGTATGGACGCATAAATTAGCAAGGCAGGCTGGTTTGTATCCGCACTTTTGTGCGGCAGCGAAACCTGGACACTATATTTACGTCATATCCGTAAAGTTGGCTGTCGCTTGTACGAAAGCCCTCGGACGGAAGTTCATCAAGAAACAAGGGCCGTTTGTCTGGTAACTAGTTCTGTTGGTTAGGCCGTGGCGCACATCTCAAATGAATTTTTCTACGGTCAGCCGAAGTTTAGTTTTCGAAACCGGGACGTCCAAAATTTCGGCACTAGGATGGCCTTAATTTAGTGTGAGAAATTGCAACCTACATCAAAGATCGCAGTGGGAATCCGAATCTCGACAGAAAGGCTCTACACAGGTGAGGAGTCTTGAGACTTGTCTGAATGCGACAAGGCAAGTGGGCTATTCAAAAGATATCATTCTCCATAATACAGCCTCTACTTTATGAACATGCGGACTAAAATACCGTGAAGTAATTGGTTTGCTGGTGAACCGGCGTTCTCACCGGTTTACCTGCTAAACACAAGCAAATTTGACAAATGTAGGCTTTTCGCCGGACATGTCATCCTAAGGACGGCAATGTGATTACCCATACGGTTTTCCAAATACTGCCAGATTATTTGTTGCTGCCTTGAGGGTTAGTTAATAAACGGCGCTCGGAAATAGTGTTAATACAAGGTAGGTGCAGCACTGTCTTGAAACTTGGTAGAATTGGCAGATAATGTTGGGAAATCACTGATGAACATGTAACTAATACCGATGCTTTTTGTTACACTATAATGTTTGGGCCGACTGGTTGATCACAACTGGCCTGTGCATTTTCACCCACTGGTCTTATTTTATCAGATTTACACAGCCGCTAAGGGGTTGCACGCAAACATGTGGTCGATGTTAGTCTGCTAAAAGTCAGTTAACATAAATAAGCTCGTTTTTTAGCTTTTGGAATTTAAGCTGAAATAGAGTAGCCTTCTCAACAAGCACCCCAGACAAAGAGGCTTGGCTTGGGCTTTCTACACAGCTTCTCTGGATTCTGTAATCGACTATCAGTTTGTGGTGACGTGGTACTCCTGTGGACAGACCGCTCTCAGGAAGCACCATTTTTGAAAGGTCACTTGAATAATCTGTCACTCCCTAAAATCCTTACAGAAGAAGCCAGTTTTGGTAGACCATTCTTGTGGAGAACACTCGTCGGGTCGCGCAACAATATACTAGCTGTAGGCTTCGGCCTTGTCTTATGCTATAATTTTTGGAGACGTGTTTGTTTATTGTGATGCGGTCTCCCGCTGTACATGGACACTCGTGGCAAACGTAATACATCGTTTCTCGGCGCTGTCCTTATGGCGTTTCCACAGTCATTTCATGGTCCCCTTGCTTGATATCCAAAAGCAATTTGCTCTTTGTTCCAGACGTTGCAAGCACGTTACTCTGTGGATGGGTGGTGTTGTTACTCGCGTGTATGTGGTTGTGAGTGGTGCGGTGCGCGGGTTACCGTTCTAGCCGTTTTTAAGCGATCTCACTCCAGTATCGTGAACTCCTCTAATCCCGTTGGGTCTAGGAGTGATTTGCTGGTAAGAAGTAGTTCAATTGAGTCACGTACAAGCTTGCACTTGCCAGTTTGTGGTACCCTTCAGCTTAATGTTTCTGGAGCGGTAGCCTCTCAAATACGATGTAACGATGATTTTCGTTGGTGACAAAAGGGATCTTAGTAAGAGGATGTTCGTTTTGAGGGCTTAGATAGGCTGGTAGAGCCATTGCTTCAGTGTTTCACTGTACTATTATGTAACATTCAGACACCTGGTAAGATGTCAGCCAACCATATAGTTGACGGAACATATGTGATCTGTCAGCCTGACGGTTGTTACGAGTATTCACAAAAAATTTGCCTTATTCGATGAAATAGTGAAATATACCTAGACGAAAAACAAACTCGGTAAATTTCTTTCGTAGTTGTATTCGGATCGTCATGATTACCAGTGGGGTGGTGGAGTCAGATAACTACAATCTGAAAACAGTGTTAATTTGGGGAAACTAAATACTTGTATATGACTAATCATCTATACGTTGCATCTAGACCAACTGCATTGCGTTGGTTTTGTTCCCTGTTCTTTAGGTTTGCTAGGCAGTCCGGTCTAGTCCATCTGGTCCATAGATTTGTCCAGCAAACCCCAAGGGAGCATCATTATATGTCCGCACCCAAAATGCGCTTACTAAGAAGTTTGACGTCGTACCCTTGAAAGGTACAATCAGGTTAGCCCCCGGTTTCCGTTTACTGGTAAGCTAACTGCGTCTACACTTACCCCGGAACGGTTCCTTCTCCGTTGTTTTAAGCTTTACGTGATGTTTTTCCCAGAATTCATGTCAATCTGGCTTCTGTTGAGCCAGCAGTTCGTTTGAAATGTTCAAAACGAGCGCCGTTCCGTGTGCGTGAAAACGTACTCTTTAAATTAAATGTGAGTTTTAGTCATTATGCTGTTCCCTCTCTTTCACAGGTAATTGCAAGATACCAAGTTACTGAAGAGCACTCAATGGAAATGAGCATCCAGCTACCTACAAACTACCCACTCGGACTGGCTACTGTCACCTGTGACCGGGCTGTGGCTATTAGCTCCCAACAGGGCAACGTTTGGAGTGTGCAGCTGTCAGTTTTCATTAACAACCAGGTTGGTTGCCCCTCATCATTTCACTGATTTCGTGGTTGGTGGTTTCCTGTGTTTCCAATTTACAACGCATATTTTAGAGTATCTGTCGATCTTTTGTCTATCCGGCAACTACATCTTTCTGGTCAAGGTGTAATTCTTCAAAGATATATGATTCGAATACATCCTTGACCTCCCAACTGCTCTTGTTTGAGCTTGTGCGATATGACTTTGTCTCAGTTCTCGTGCTTTTTTCGGGCTGCATGGGCGCCGTGATCAGAGAATGCCACAACTGAGCGATATAGCTTTTTGGTGGATGATCGCACTCCGAGAATACGCCTCTTTAATGCTAAAATTTCGTATTTTGTAAAGCTCCGGAAAATTCTTGGATTCATTTAGTGTAATCAGGAAGTGACACGTTGTCAAGTATAAGTAGGCTGAGAAGTGAGGCACTCTTCGCGTTTCCTACCGATGCCTGGGCTCTCTCTTAGGGTGCCTTATATTGACGTTGGATCATCTTTGTATTTCCTTTGAGACATTGGGATACTATCGGGAAATCGAAAGGAGATGAAAAATGCCGGAACTTTCTCACATAACGACGTGCAGCCGTTCTAGGACAATTTTGACCGTTGCAATGACTGAACAGAAATGCACATAGATTCGTAATATTACCGTGTACAACCACAGTGGTACAACCACAGTGTACAACCACATTGGGCAGGTTGTTCTATCCCTTGCGGTACCAAAGCTCATTTAGTGAAACTGATTTCGACATCTTGTGATATCTCGAGGGCATCCTTCGGACGTTTGATATAGCTAATCCCAACCTTTTATCAGAGGATTATTTTACTTATTCTAATTGATGCATCTTTAGTCGTGTATCAGAAGTAGGTCTACTGGTCCCACGTTTTTTCTTGTCCGATGCAGCTCGTACTGGCCAGATGTGGTTGCGGCCGTAATTTTACATACATCTTGTGATATCTCGAGGGCATCCTTCGGACGTTTGATATAGCTAATCCCAACCTTTTATCAGAGGATTATTTTACTTATTCTAATTGATGCATCTTTAGTCGTGTATCAGAAGTAGGTCTACTGGTCCCACGTTTTTTCTTGTCCGATGCAGCTCGTACTGGCCAGATGTGGTTGCGGCCGTAATTTTACAACTAGGCTAGGCAGAATTTCTGGATAAAAAACAAAGGAATTTCACACTGCGAAGACAATTGACATGGTCACCAGGACTCTCTTTGTCACTACTGTTTCTTAAGTGTGTACGTGTACGCTTCACTCCTGTAGGTGGTACCACTGATTGCAATTCCTAGCTGCGTGAGTATGAAATGATGTTGGATTTGTCTTTGAATTATTGGACTTCTGTATTGCTTGCCGCGTGTTAAATGCGATTCAACCTCTTACCTTGGTTCACTGTTTGCTGTTTTGCAGAACGGTTCAATCCTGGACGGGATCGATCTATGGCAACGAAACGTGCGAAAGAAATTCGAGGGTGTTGAGGAGTGTGCAATCTGCTATTCAGTCGTACACAACACCAATTTCAGTCTTCCCAAGATGCAGTGTCACACTTGTAGAAAGCTCTTCCATTATGCTTGTATGTACCGCTGGTTCACCACTAGCCGCAATCCCGCATGCCCACTTTGCCGTCACATGTTTTTCGGACCATCAGGACGACCTACGTGATGCATTGTGTGTCCCTAATTAGTAAATGTACATACGGTAACTTTTTGCATCGATGAAGCCCCGGCTTTCGAACCGTTTCTCAATGGTTGTCTTTTTTTATACCGCACTCAGGTCGAACAATAAACCTGCTGTTCAAGGTGATATTTCCAGTTATCTGTATCTAATGAGCGTTTTGGAATGTCATTTCAACAAGTGTCAATCACGTACCAATTTAGAACGCCGCCCTTTTACGTAAAAATGATTTTATTTTGGATTACCTGTTGTTGATTTCCAAGTCTCGATGCCCAATTTACTGTCATGGAGTAATTTTTTCGCAACATTTCCTGCTGTGTACCACCGATATCAAGTCAGGCTTAGGTACAGTGCGGATTGATAGTGCTAATCACTGATTTTAAGGTACAAATCCACGAACCGCCATTCTTTGTTGTTGACGGGGAAATTCGTTTGTCGTTGGAATCTCAATCATTAATTCGAGGATTAAGTTCAGTTCTGTTTCTTCTATTAGTCCCCGTAATGTGCCGATTTTTTAGACCCATGCAACCGAGTACTGTGTAGGTGACCCCTTTTTCTTTAATCAGCAAGCTGTCGGTGACCTCACATAATTCCGGGTGTAATGGTGGATACTACTGATGAGGCGTGCGAGTAGTATGTGATTTTTCATAAATCCGCTTCGCGTCCATTGAAAAGTGAGGTTTATTACGGAATTTGTGGAATTGCTTTGTAGCATTCGTTTGAGTGATAGCCAGTGAGTATCCAAGAAAGTTCAGGAAGACGTGTTCAAGAAGACGGGTACACAGTTTTCATAAACAAGATGCAAATGAGAGCTTTGCTTCCCTGTCCAATAGTCTGTAACTGTTCAGTTGGTGTTTTCGAATATATGACTCCGCAGTGAAGGCCTTCTTCCATTTCACTGGTATTTGGCGGATTTCTTCATTGCTTCCGCTGTGGATGGACTTGGCTGAAAATGGGGATATTCTGCTTCGTAGGTTTCCCACTACACTTCACCCGTCTGTGTAACCATGCTTTTTTCTGGTTGGATACATCTGGAAACACCATAACTGGGTCACTCACTGACACCACCTGATGCCCGTCATTGTTTTTAGCTTATATTCTGTTCAACTGGCGCTGCCTGAGACAAAATTCACCTGCCAGCGTTTTCTACGCCCTTGTAAATCCGTGTGAATATTTACCGCGAGGTTCACAGGCTTCACTGTTGTTCCCGAAGAAGCTCGAATTTGATCGGACGAGGTACACGTCGGGAGCTTGTTGTTTGAGCGTAACTGAATTGTTGGACAAAATACTGACCTTTTTTCAATTTAAGTGACAGCATTTCTATATGGGATGGATTTATGCACCCAGTTGCAGAGTAACTTGTTTGTAATACGTGACTCATCTGAATCGTATCCTTCAATTGAATGTGTTGCATAAAGGTCTCCTCGTGTTTCAGCTGGTAGGATATTCGAGGTGTCGCAGCGTATCATGAAAAACATCATAAACTGGAGATTCGGCTGGAGTTCATTCCCGCGGAAGCCAGGTTAGTTTAGAAATGAGTGTAATTCTCAAATTGCGTGCAATCTGGGTGCGAGTGAAACATTGGTATGGCGTATACGCGAGGTGCGCACCTACCTGAAGAGTCAAAAGAAAAGCGCGACTATTCATGGGGTGCCGAAGAGTCCTCAGTAAACTTATGGGTAGTGTGCGTCTTCGAGATCTTTTGCGCCGAACCCATATCTAATACCCGTATTTCGCACATTTTTATCTACTATGGCCACTTTGATAATAGTGTTCGTAGCTGGCACGTTAGCTGAAGTTCCGATTCTTCTAATTCCATGCCAAATTTTAAAATGTTGGGGATGATGAGCCGTCTAGGTTAACCATGGTATTGCAGGATCTACTCACTGGTTGGTCTAGATTTTGTTCGATGAGCCTTCCCTTGAGGCATTTCAAAAGTCGTATTTTGGCATTCTGCAACAATAGCTGCAATATTTTGACACCGTTTTTACAAGCTGCAATATCGGTTGGTAAGGAGAGACTCTAAAATATGTCCCTATCGATGCTGACGTTCCCGGCTTGGGGGTCAACAGAAAATATGACTCAATGCGTTCGAACCAAATGTCGTAATTTTTGGTCTCCAAGCCTTACCTGCGTTACTTGTTTCTTGAAAAAAATATGGAACATCATCTTTGGTTATCTTCTACTTCCTATAATTTGCTTTGTATGGCCGTCCATTGCCACTGTTCCCGGCTTGGGGGTCAACAGAAAATATGACTCAATGCGTTCGAACCAAATGTCGTAATTTTTGGTCTCCAAGCCTTACCTGCGTTACTTGTTTCTTGAAAAAAATATGGAACATCATCTTTGGTTATCTTCTACTTCCTATAATTTGCTTTGTATGGCCGTCCAGGTGCCACTGTGGGGAAATAAATGACCGACAGTTCGAAAAGTAAAAGGCACGTACCCTCTTTTCTGTAAGTTTGGATACCAATCTGCGCTGCTGAAAACACAAATATTACTGACAGGTCCACATTATAGTCATAACGACACCGGGATTTTTCGACAGAATAATCCACATTCCCACTGCTGTCGAATGCCACGTTATACAGCTGTCAGAGGACGTTGTAGTAAATGAACCTTTTCTGCGTTGAAGCAGACAACGGAGGAATTTGGCTACCTTAATTTTTAATAGAAGATTATTTCAGTGTGTCTGGTGAGTGACTTAACCTGAATGCAGTTGATCATATTCGTTAACTTTAGGTTCCCATAAAAAATGTTTTTTTGGTACTGGCATCTGCATGCAAATAGCGGAATGAATCACTGGTGACTAACTTGAAACTTGACATCCTTCATGGGGGATCTAAATAAACCTAGTTGGCTTCCAAGTAATGCTGCGATTCATAAGTTGTCGAGCCGCTACACATTAATCGTCATCCTGCTCAATGTTCGGTTTTTTGGGTTAATGTCTTCAACTTGGTTGTTGTATGTTGAACAAGACATTTGTTGATCCGTGTTACATACTACTACCTTTGCTGCTTAGAATCCATAATTTGTGAGACGTGCTTACTGAAAAAATCGATCAACACAGGCAAGAATGACGAGGCACTCGCACGTACACTTCATCAGCACTTGCATAATGGTGGAGTTCGGTACGTAAATAAGGAACAGTTGACGTCTACCTAAGAACATAAAACACGTACCATAAAATATTTATGCGTTCCGAAACCGCAGCACCAGGAGTAAAGTTAGTGCGGTATTTCTCCATAGAAAACTCCGTGGAGAGACATCTCGTGGGAAGTTTTGCGTCACAAACTTCTTTCAGAAAACCACACCTGCGGAATCTTTTTGGGTGAAATGGATTTGGACTAACCGACATTTTTTGGTTTCGGACAGCGCGCAGCACTTTTGTCACTGGGGTGCAAAACTCCCTTTCGGAGGGTGGGGAGAAAGGAAACCCATCTACAACCAGAAAACCCCATGGTCAGGATCAGCGTTTCTCCAGACACGGTTAGTATATTAGAATACAAATTATCGACTGATACCTCACTCTGAAACAACGACAATTTTTCACCACCATTCACTACCCAAGTACTAAGTTTACTGCGTTTTAAGTAGCCCGAATTCGTTTCAGATAACTGCGTGGTTGGTGGTAACACCGTTACAAACATTCCACTGCAGTGTTCTGGTCTGAACAAAACATCCAACAACTTTCGCTTCATGCGCAACAACGTCCAACCATCCTCACCTAGGATGTTTCTGTATTTCGCCATAATATTTCCTTCCATCGGTCATTATTTTGTGTGGTCACGTGTTCAGAATTAAGCTTCTCACACTTATTTCGACCGTGTCCTTATTTGTACTGCTTACTATTCACGTGTCTTACCAAAGCATTTGTTCGATTATTTTCTCTGGGGTCGATATTCTGGTTTGCTTGGGTGGATAATGGTAAATATAACTGGGTCGCACCCGTTTAGGCCTGTATGAAAGCGTAACTAATATTTCCGACTAAACAGGGAGTTGGATCCCTTTAACATGTTTCCGTCATTTGCCTAAGGCAGTTAGCTTGTCATAGTGATTGAACTTTGGCACCGCGATGGTCCTGTGTGTTAAACTGACTGAGACTCATGAGATGCGTACTGCCTGTGATTCCCAATAAGGATGAAACGGCTATACAGTTCCTCTGGGCTTTTCAACATAGATTTACTTCACTTACTGGACGAAATCTCCACGAAAATCCCAGCTCTCCTCACACTACCAACAGTATATAAGTAGCTCAGTGGAAGAGTAAACTTCACCCGATGAGTGAAACTTCTGTCTCAGAAGTCGTTGCTGGAGAAGCCAGTCAACACGTGTGACCGCGTGATGTGGATCTCGTGATTGAACGATGAAAGGCGCTATATCCTGTCTGAGTGCGAGTTAGTTACACTACTGATCAGTCACTGGTGGCCGAACGGTTAAGTGTTCAAACTACTAGCCGGGATGGCAAGAGCTCCATAATCCTTGGCACTTCATGAGACGTGGTAAGATTTGGTATATGGACAGAAGAAAATATAATGAAATTAAACTCACTCTTGACAACCAAGAATATCTTCTCACCGTTTTAGAAACCTCTGTAAGTTCAGAAAAAAATCAAATGTTGAAACAGAATCAGCTATTTCTCGTAACACGTTTGACAATCCAGGAAGTGCGTTTTACAGAGCCTAGGTCCACAGACTGTGCCTTCTGTCATATGTTTTCAACGCCCTGAGTTGAAGTAATTTATGTTCAGATTTTATGCTATCTTGACAGGGAACACACTGCACGATCAAGGGGATGGGTAGGCTTTTTAATCTTTTACAAGTTGGGTGATGGGAATCAAGTTGGAATTCAAATAACATTAAATATAATTGGCTATATTTTCATCTGAACTAAGTACAATACGATATTGTTCTCGAATTCTTTGCATATTTCTGTCTACCGTAGGTTTCACTGTGTAGACAATAAGTCTCGCTGTTACGAAACATACTCTTTAGACGTGTTAATCTTCGGAAACCATAGAATCACCGTTTTGATATAAGATCCCAGCGATTTAGAGTAACTGAAGTTTGAATGTGAATCAGCTGTTCGTTGAGTCTCCTAAATGTCAACAGGCTAGGTTTTATGGAGGATCACCATATACAGAAATCGCAGTAGCAGCGAGATCCCAAGTTTCTGAAGCTTTCAAGACAGATGAGAGTTCCAAGGATGGTGCTGTCTTTTTCAGATCTGAAACAGTTCTCACCGCCTGAGAACGATACATGGTGATCAACAAAATCCCTTAACTAAACAGCCCAAAAAAGTGGGGTCACCCACAGCCTATCGGCTTGTGTGCACTTGTGCTTCAGTAATTTTTTTTGCTTGTTCTGTGCTTCATGCAGTGTGGTGCAAATACTAACCGCAAACGCATCCCTATCATGTATAAAGTGGTTAGTAGTCCTTGGTGTCAGTCTGTTCAGCCTACCAACAGACTATAAATTCCATAAGGAGTCGCTTTTTCGGAGAAGATAAA